GTTTTACTTTCACTATATATAATGCTTCTTCGATATCTGACCATAAATATACAGCACCTTACAGTAGGGGCAACGGTCACATTTATACAATATTTTAATTACTGTATAGATAAAGCAGGATGAGAGTCGTTCTAAACCATGGTAGTGCTGGACTTAATATATTGCTTGTAGATATTACTGTGGGACTGATTACATTACCCCGACTATTGCTCATGTTGTTATCACTAATGCCGTTTATTGTTGCCTGTGGCACTGTGCGGTGCCACTACACACAACCGCTTGACATGACATACGGTTCCTGTCCCCATATAATATGAATCACCATTACTTATCAAGATGCAATTTCCCGAAATGACAATAAGAGACATAAGTAATCCGCGCACGTAATTCTATGGCACCATAAATAACTGGGTGATAGTATGACGTAATAAATCCAACCCGTCTGACAGCATTTGGTAGTCGAGTTCTTCTCCATTTAGTACAACAGCGTCGATCCTTGTGAATATGGGTTTAATTTTGGGGGGCAAATAAGTAAAACTAAAACTGGAGAACTCGAACTAGAGAACTCTTATCTCGGCAGCGTGAACTTGTAAGAGAAAGTTCGTAAATTCAAACTTTAAGACTCAGACTCTGGTCTATAATTACGGTGTATGAGAAGAAGAGGATGATACAGTCATACACAGTCGCTGCAGTATGTCCACGAGCCTCAAACTAATATGATTAAACACAGTGAGAGAGAGAGAAGAAAGTGTTGGGAAGACAGATCGAAAACCAGAATCTTACAGGATATAGGAAAGTGTTACACGGCGGTTATTTTGATCCACTACAGCAGTATAGTCTCCACCGTGTACACAAAGTTACAGAGTGTGAAAGTTACTGAAGTGTCCGTTGTAAGGTGTTGCGTGTCCACAGTTCCTTAGAAAAATATACAAACAAAATAATGGCTTATAATTTGCCTACAGAGATCAACAAAACATACCTAGGTATACCTGGAATATCTCTCATGTATAAACGAGATGATCATTAAAGCCTTACGAATTGTTGTAATATATTTGTTTCAGAAATGACTACACCCATTATAATGATTTCCTCTATTAAAAATAGGTCCCAGATGTGTTTACTCCGCGTCACATCCCACAATCTCGCTGAAAGAACCGGGTGACCCCAGCATGAATCCAGGTCGGGGTGATTTATGGCCTCTGACCTGTACGTGAGAGAGATTAATCGGAAATTAAACAGAGATTATGTCCGGTTGTGCTCACAAAGACACGCAGCAGTTATCCGGACACGAGGCTCATAAAACCCGACTTCATCCGGTGTGTACTCTACTTTCTCCACATAGAGGCTTACGAGAACGTGCTTGAATTATAATTATGTTGAGAAATAGTTATGTAAGTTAAAGGAGTCCCAGCCATAACAGGCCCCATTCACTCCTAGTCTGTCATTAACACCGAGACCCACCACCATTGGGCCTTCAGTCGTAATGGCCAAGTTATGTTCATCTGAGACTCGTAGTATTAGGCTCCTTTTGTTATCATCCAATAGTAATGAGTACATACTAGACTATCACCTCCAACACCCCCACCACCCCACCAACACCCCCATCACCCTCCAACACCTCACCACCCCCACACTACCCCTCCAACACCTCGACCACTCCTCCAACACCCCCACCACTCCCCTGCACCTTCACCCTCCCAACTCTCCCATCACTCCCCATACTACCACTCCCCACCCCCACCACTCCCCCCACACCACCACTTCCCCCACACCACCACCTCCCCCACACCACCCACCCTCCCCCCCACACCACCCCTCCCCACACCACCACCCCCCACACCCCCCCCACCACCCCCCCCACCACCACCACCTCCCCGCACCCACCCTCCAACACCCACCACCAACCACTCACACCACCTCCTCCCACCCCAGCCACCCACCCACCACACACCCCACCACCACTCCACACCCCACACACCCCACACCACTCCACCTCCACCCACCCCACCCCCCCACCACCACCCCACACCCACTCCTCCACCTCTCCCCACACCCCACCCTTCCACACCACCACCCTCCTCCACCCACCTCCCCCACTCACCTCCACCACCCAACACCCCTACTCCCCCCCCACTCACCCTCCACCACCCCCCACCACCCCCCAACATCCACCCCTCTCCCCCCCACCACTCCCCACCCTCCAACTTCCCCACACTCCCCACCTCCACTCTCAACACCCCCCACCACCCCACACCTCCACCCCTCTCAACACCCCCACCACCCCACACACCACCTCCAACACCTCCTCCCCACCCCACAGCACCCCACCCCCCCACCCCCACTCCTCCCACACCCACCCCTCCTCCACCACCCTCCACACTCCCACTCCTCCCACACCCACCTCCCCCTCCACCCCACTCCCCCCCACCCCACCCTCAACCCTCTACACCTCCTCCACACCTCCAACACCTCTGCACCTCCACCCTCCCCACCACCCTCCTCCAACACCACCCTCCTCCAGCACACCTCCATCCCCCCTCCTCCACCACTCCTTCACACCTCCACTCCCTCACCTCCACCACTCCCCACACCTGCTCAATACCTCCACCACTCCTCCAACACTTTCCACTCCTCCCACACTACCACTTCTCCAATACCACTCCAACACTCCACCCTCCACCCACCACTCCTCCACACTACCACCTCCCCCATCTCCACCACTCCTTCAACACTTCCACCATTCCCCCACACCACCATTCTCCAACACTCCCACCACCCCACACCTCCACCGCTCCCCACCCCTCCACCACTCCCCATACTACCACTCCTCCAACACCCCTACCACTCCTCCAACACCCTCACCCCCTCCACCACTCCCCATACTACCACCTCTCCTCCAACACCCTACCACTCCTCCCAGCAACACCTCACCCCTCCCACCACTCCCCCTCTACTCCCCCCATACTACCACTCCTCCAACACCCCTACACCCTCCAACACCTCCACCACCTCCACCACTCCACCATTACCACTCCTCCAACACCCCTACCACTCCTCCAACACTCTCACCCCTCCACCACTCCCCCACCCCTCCACCACTCCCCCACCGCACACCCTTCACCACGTGCCACAGAACGCTTCAGGAATCATCACCACAACTCACACTAGAGAAACACTCAGAATCAGTCAAGCCTCCGAGACTACATAAGAAACTTCAATCTTAACTGAATCTAAACCCCAGCCAGCCGGACCAATACCCGGTATTAGATAACATTGAAGACCTTAACTGCATTAAATATGTAAAACAATGGCATCATTCATCACCCCTGAGAACAGAGGTGAATATTAATCCGGGGAATTAACCGAGGACAATACTGTGCCAACCCACTTCGGATGTTAAGGTTGCGTATCCAGTGTCAAGTACAGAGATCTATGGGTCTTCCCGGACGGAGCGTAGCATGACCCTGTTGACCCGGAGATGGTCAATTAACTCGTAATCTGTGGCGCTGATCAGGTGGCTGTGATATCAAGCATCATTATGATGATTTAAGCAAAATAAATTATTCATGAGCGAGATCATTTACATGGAGCTCCACCCGGCGAGCTGGAGCAGGTGGTGGTGATTATTCTAAATTATACTCTTATTATCCCCTCCAGTCTACTCGAGTCTGTAGTGAAGATTATTAATAAGAATTTATCATATTTCACGTGACCTTAGGGAAGTGGATCACTGGCCGTGTATACCTGTAACATTATATACCGTCATCACTACACTCACCTGTTGTGTTTGTTATTATCCTTTACCTTCATTCCTCTATCTACTCCCATCCTCTTCCTTGACCTCCTTCATCATAGTCTTCCACACCTGTTTTTTTTTAGCTTTCTTACTTCTCTTCTTCCCTTTCCTCCTTTAATTCCTTCTTCTTACTCTTCCTTAACTACTTCTCATCATTCCTGCTCCTCCTCGCGGCAGATTCATTAATCACCCTCCTGGCCAAAGCTCTGCAGATAAAGTGAATAGAAAAAAAATCGATATTAAGAATCATGATACATTGCAATCTAAAACAGACACGGTGAACCAGATTAATAAAGCCGGTGTTTAAAATATATATATATATATATATATATATATATATATATATATATATATATATATATATATATATATATATATATATATATATATATATATATATATATATATATATATATATATATATAGATTTTTTCCTGAATATCCGAAAAGGAGAGAAAAACGGTGTGAACGGAGAATGCCAACCACTTTTGTGTAATTAATGAAAGGAGAGGAGTAAAAGCTGTCTGTCTGTGCGTGCGTGCGTGCATACGTTGCGGATGACTGCGTTAGAACTGTAAATGCGATAGTGGGAACTGGGAATGTGTGCGTTAGAGTAGTGAATGAATCAGAATTTGTGAATACGTGCGTCAAAATTGTGAACGTATGAGTTAGAAATTTGAATGCATACGTCAAAATTACAAACGCGAAAACGATTTAAATTTTAATCGAGATATAATCAGTTTTTTCCACCCTCTTGTGAGTCTCTTGGCTGGGATAATAATCATGACCACATACAGGTGTATTGGTAAGTGGTACTTGTACCATTGTAGGACGCCCGGGTCGGCGTCTTACTCAGGTGTACAGGGAACCTGGATATGATGCTAGTTTTCTATCATTCATCAGGTTGAGTCTGGACACTGTGGCCTCCTTGCATAACCTAACCTACCCCACCCCATTTTTTTAGGATATTTAGATTTTTATTATTAACTTTTCAGCCGAGTAGATAATTGTGTAATTTAAAATCTTATGTTAAAATATATTTTTCTATCATTCTTCAGCAATGATGGCTGGGCTATTTCCAAAATGGTGTTGTTGTTTTTGTTTTTTGTTTTTTTTAATTATTTATCAAATGGGTTCGTAGTCTCTCTCCATAAGTCAGGCAATTCTTTCATAACAGAAACTAACACTTTCTTTCCTCCGGCAGATCTGGGCCAACATGGACGCGGTGCTGCTAGGTGAGACAGGACCCGCCGACCCAGAGCTCCTCACTCCCGTCGTCGACACCACTGACTCGCTATCCACACCCACACTGTCATCATCCTCAACGTCTACGATGTTCACAAACCTGTCATTACCAGAGACACCATCTATTCTGTCACAGGTGTTGACGAACCCCACAAGGCGACGCCCCCACTCCCTGCAGTACACATCTGTTTGCCCCCCGAGTGAGCCTCTTCTTAGTGGTCTCGGGGAAGAGAGTCAGGGAGGATACAACGTCCCAGGAGAGGAAAACCAGCAGTACCGTGGGGCGTCTCCGTCCTCCACCCACATGGACACCAGCTACCATGACCAGTTCTCTCCCTCCTTCCGTGTCTTCGGTGAGGGACTCGAGGTGGAAGACTATGTGGCGCAAGAAATGAACAGTGCGCAGTACAACCCTAACGCGATGGACGAGACACCGATGGCCCATTCTGAAGAGTTCATCGACCTGGACGAATTTGCTAATAAAGTTGCCAATGAAGTTGCCAATAAGGCAGAACACCAGTTCCCTCCCCCTGAAGCTTCAGCAAACTTACCCTCCATCAACACACTCCAGCAAAGGGTCTTTACCAATGAAGTTGCCAATAAGGCGGAAGAACACCAGTTCCCTCCTCTTGAAGCTCTTGCAAAGCTGCCCCCCATCAATACACTCCAGCCAAGGGCCCACACCCTCGCTTTCAACACATACATCACTACATTGCCGCCCGTGTCAACCGTCACTGAGGCGCAGCACCAACACCAGCTCCAGCAGCAACAGCAGCAGCAGCAGCAACAGCAGCAGCAACTTCAACAGCAGCATCAGCAACACCAGCTCCATCAACAGCAGTTCCAGCAGCAGCAGCAACAGCATCAACAGCAGCTCCAGCAGCAGCAGCAGCAGCAGCATCAACAACACCACCTTCAGCAGCAACACCAGCAACAGCAGCAACAAGACAACGGTGCACCGCCCCTCGTGGCCCCTGCACCTTCATCACCACCACAGTGCCCAAGCTCGCAAGGTGGAACACAGGTCAACTATACCCATGGCCAGATGTCTCCACCAGCGTCTCCGGAACACGAAGAATTGACCCCTGGTGTACGGGTGTCAGGTTGCATTACACCTCTCACCACTCACGCCCGCACCAGGCAAACTCTTCACACACAGGTCAAGGTCATGACACCACCATCTTCACCTAACTTCCCAAGCTCTGAGCTCAGCAAACAGATCAGCCAAGAGTCATCCACGCCGTCCCCGCCTGGCGACACTGAAAGAAAGGTGACCAAGAAACCAACGGGACGCAAGAAGATAACAGCGCACACCTGCCAACACCCGGGCTGCCACAAGACCTACACAAAGTCATCACATCTGAAAGCTCATCTGCGTACTCATACGGGCGAGAAGCCCTACATGTGTGGCTGGAAGGGCTGCGGCTGGAAGTTCGCGAGGTCAGATGAACTAACGAGGCACCACCGTAAGCACACGGGCGACCGACCCTTCCAGTGTCGCCTGTGCGAGCGAGCCTTCTCGCGTTCAGACCACCTCAGTCTCCACATGAAGCGACATGTGAGCGTGTAGCCGCCCACACGCCACACTGTACATACATCCTCGGTGTACAAAGGCTGGGCGGCGGCGCCCAGGCCTGACCCAAGTTACCAGGAGGCTCCCTCCACCCGCACCCGACGCGCTCGCACACACACCCGCTCCTGACCCACTTTTTAATCTTGTGTAAATCCGTTGCGTCGCTCAGTAATAGCGAGAGCAGGCGGGGGGGAGGGGGTGATCTGCATAAAGACTGGCGCATTAACCCAGGTAATTGGTGACGGTAACAACCGAGGCAAACAACGGCGGTAGTAAAAGTGTTGGGATGGCACTGTAGGCAGCCCAAGCCGCCATCACTTGGTACTCACCCCTTCACTGTCACCCCTGCCCCGCCCCGTAACCCTAGCCTGCCCCGCCCCGTAACCCTAGCCTGCCCCGCCCCGTAACACTAGCCTGCCCCTTATCCACGTTCCACCCCCCCTACCCTTGCCCTGCCCCTGACCGCTCCCTCAACCTATCCGTATACACCATCTGTTCAACAGTCCATTTCCCTCCCATAATAGACCATCGCTGCCCAACGCATCAGGGTATACAGTACACGGTAATCAGGCAGTAATGTGCCTCCGTATAGTATATAATATGACACTCAGTTAGAAGTGAAGAAAGTATTCATCGTGAAAAGGATGATGATGACGTCAGCTGGATTTTCTCCTGTGCAGAGTAAAGAAAATTTGACTGAGCTAAGAGACTCGCTAAGAATGAAGATTTCCAGAGAGGCTGAGGAGAAAAAAAAGAAAAAAAAAGAGCAATATAGATGTAAGGAAAATGGAAAAAGTGGAAAAAGACGAAGAGGTAAGGAAAGGGGGCAGCAGTAATGGAGATGTAAATTTATTGAAAAGTTTGTGGAGAGAGAGAGAGAGAGAGAGAGAGGGGGAGGAAGGAAGTGGGGAGAGGGGGGAGAGGAGAGGAGGAGGCAGAAAAGAGGAACAGGGAACATATTGCCTGACTATGACCATTCATCAGGTCATTAGCAGAGTTGTCGGGCACCTTGCGTGTGTCGGCCAATTATCGGGGAACTGGCTGGCTGGGTCCAGCACCTCGCCACCCCCCCCCCTTGCCGCCTCCTCCACCCACCGTACCCCCTCCACACCCCCACCTCTCCCCCACCCCACTCCACCCCACACCCCCTCCACCCCACCTCTCCCCCCACACCCCCACCTCCCCTCCACCCCACCTCCCCTACCCCACCCTCCACTCCACCCCCCCACCTCTCCACCCCACACCTCCACTCCCCCACCCCCACTTCTCCCACCCACACCCCCACCTCTCCACCCCACACCCCCCACCTCTCCCCACCCCACCCCCCCACTCCACACCCCTACCTCTCCACCCCCACCTACCCACCCCCCAACCCCACACCCCCACCTCCACCACTCCACACCCCCCTACCTCTCCCTCCACCCCCCCACCTCTCCACTCCACCCCCACCTCTCCACCCCCCACCTCCACACACCCCACCTCTCCACCACACCCACCACCTCCACCCCCACCCCCCCCTCCACCCCACACCCCCCTCTCCACCCCCTCCACGCCACACCCCCTCTCCACCCCACACCCCCACCCCCACCCCCCCACCCCACCCCCACCTCTCCACCCCACACCCCCACCTCTCCACCTCCACCCCCATCTCTCCACCCGACATCCACCACTTCTCCACCCCGACACCCACCACTTCTCCACCCCACACCCCACCTCCTCCACACCCCTCTCCCACCCACCCCCACCTCCACACACCTCTCCTAGTCCTACTTTCTCTCCACCCCTTCTTTCTCCCCTACTCTCTCTCTCTCTCTCTCCATCCTCGTCAACTGCTGTGGGTGAATAGTGTGTCGCATCTCAACAATTACCTTCCTTACTACCTAATTTTATTGTTATTTCTAATCATGTGGCAATAATGGGTTGAACTTTGTAAATAGGGACTTGAAATAGGGGGTACATAAAAGCAGTAGTTTATCATTTAATCTAACCCGACGATGGCAAAAGAAGGCTGATGAAAGTAGAATTTCCACCATTCACAATTTATATATACGAAAAAATTCTATTCTTTATAGCCATCCATAATGCTCATACAGTGCCATAATGACGAATATATGAAAATATACACATATATATACACAAACATATATATATATATATATATATATATATATATATATATATATTAGAGATTATATAGAGAATATATAGATAAAACTATATATGTACAAAACAAATGGAAGATGACTATAATAGTCAGCTCTGGGGAAAACTTTCTTTTTCATCCATTTTGAAACGAAAAAGCTAGTCCAGAATGCCATAATATTTTCATGCCACAGACGAGCTCTGAGCCTTGCGCCAGATGGTAATAGTGCTCAGTTTAGCTATGGCGCTGTTACCACGATGAAAATAACACGCAGAAGGCCCCCTTAACAGCTCCCCTTCGCAGTTTCCAGGAGGCGTGGAGTTTACGTTTTCATTAGGGTAATGGAGGGTGCTGCCATCTGTTGGCCCCGCGGGACACTCCACTGCTGATAGGCGTCACGGGACGACCTGTTAGGCACGCGATCCTCCCACTCACATCACCAAGGTTTAATTATGACCCTGACTCTCCTCCATGACGCCTCGTATTAATTAACACCAACAGTTAATCAAATGACCCTCTGTTGGTGGACAGTAACGGCATTGTCCCCAAGCAGTAAAACTACCAGTGGAGGGGAGGAACGAGGTCGATAGATGAGGCTTGTCGTCGCCTTATCAGTAGAGTAAAATAAGACGATTATCAGTGATATATGAACATGGCGCCCAGGGTACCTCGGCCGGGAATGTCTACAAAATGTGTGTGCGCGCGCGCGGGTCACGAGCGGTAGAGACCGAGTTCCTCCAAGATCTAGTTTAACCAACCCTTAGGAGGCAAAATAGATTTTAGTATTTGTGTCACTAGGCATCATAGCTGTGTTTCTCCCGTGTCCAGGGATGGATACCTACTTAACACGTCGTCAATTTTAAGGTGCTTAAAATTCTTTGATGTGTGAAGTCACATTTTAAAAGTTTTAAGAATGTTTCAAATATCTTTTTATTCATGTTACAGTTCTCATGGACTGTCTTTTCTGTGTGTGTGTGTGCGTGCGTGCGTGCGCGCACTGCCCTGCCTCAGCCAGCAGGTTTGGCAGCGTGACACTTGTCTGTAAATAGAAAGGTGGACGAGCAGTACCCTCTCACCCATTACCCTCAGCTTGGCGGCTCCCTAACATTAGTCAAAACTGAAATTGACTATACAGCCCCCCCCCCCCTCCCCCCACACAACCTTCTGCTCCCAAAGAGCAGAGTTTCATGTGAGTGAGAGGTGTGCTGGTCGTGGGACCACCTGCCTTGTGGTGCCCGACATATATATATAATAGGCTGTACCAGGTACAAGCCACATATAGGTCACTACTGTTGATATATGAGGGGTTGCCCTCTAGATCTCACTGCTCTAGCGGCTTTGAATATTATAAGGTAAAAATATAAAGGCCTAAACCTCCATCTCCACCAATCTGTTTTTAAAATGGGGACTCGTAAAGCTGTTGGTGGCCCCCTGTATGTCAACAACAAGACCTAAGTGATGCTGCAAGAACCGTTCGTGTAAACCGATGGCGAACGGGTGTGACGTCATGGTGCTCTCTATAGCAATTGGCTGGCCAGTAGGACCCGAGCACCTCCTTCAGGTTAATCCATGACGATGAATCCGTTCGACCAAAGGACGAGCGAGCGAGTCTTTGTTGTGTACAAACCCGAGTGTTCTCAACTTCGGGTGTAGCGTTGGGTGGACATTATTAGTTCAGGTACAGCGAGAGCGCATCTTGGCTCAGGTCCCAGCACCGACACATTCCAGCATCCAACAAGAAGTCCCATGAAACAATACAGAGAGACGGACGCTACCTGTAGAAGTTGTCATCTGGAACTCTTACCATCTGCTGGAGTGAGTACCGTGCAACTTAGAGAACATGGGATCTTCTCGTTAACACAGGTCTCTGTTTTCTGTCTGTTGTAGCGGAAAGGTGGGTAGATTGAGACCCCTGGACCATCACAAAGAGCAGAGGTCCTCCGCTGGCCATGAACGTGATGCTACATGCAACTTGTATTCTTAATATAAGCACTTTCGTGAGTGAATTAGTTTATATTAATCTATTGCTCCATTTGATGATTCAAATTTTCACAAAGCGTATTTTGATGAGAGTGGCCTAAGCGTTCTAGACAAGTTCTCCCTTGAATATCAGTTAAGCATGACAATAAAGGCATATTAACTGGAGGGAGTTAATATGTTCGTTTTGAAATTTACAATAACACTGACAATAACTACATACGACAAGACAACAAGCTGTATATATTATAAAACTTACTAATGGCTTCTGTGTTTAAAACGCCTAGGCCATTTATCATCTCTTTACCCTGGCCATAGAGTTGACATCCCTATGGTCTCGACATGTGATACTAGTCCTTAATGAAGTGCATTGTAAGTAGAATAATCATGTATTTGTGTAGATTACTCGCTCTCCTTAATGTCAGTTTAATATTCGCTTGTGTATCATGCTCATGAATTTAATGCAGTTAAAACTGTCAAAAATAGAATTATTATTAAGGTTTTTATATAAAATCATCTTCCTTTTTTCCCATATATTAGATGTAACTTATTGTGAAACAATGATAAATATCGAGTTTAACTACAAGTGTAGTCAAAGCCAGGGCTATGTGGCATGACTTTGGTTGCACTGTTCACGTGTCATTAGAGCCACACCACCACGTACAGGTGAGGAGACAGTCTGTGTAGCGACGTCATCACCCCACAGTGGGTATTGTTTCCTCACTCAGTGCTTACTAACACTGGTAGAACCCTCACAGAAGGTGTTGATAAAACCTAGTGGAAGTCAGTATAATTTAAACAAGTGTTTTTCACTAAAGTATATATTAAAAAGTCCAATATGTAAGATATTGGTGTGTTAAGAGTGAAACAAGCTACAGTGGTTGTGGTGGTGGTGTGGCGCTCGCTGGCCACATGTTATCAGCAGGATGGTGCCTCTTACTCATTATGGTACCTGATAATCGACTTTAGCGCCACTGAATATTCTTGTTTGTTTGTCTGTCGTCTAAATCTCCCGGGCACCCCCATTTGATTTGTCTTTCTTGTCCTATTATGGTTATTTGTTTAGTTTTTATGACGTCATATGTTGTCAGTAAATGTGTCCCGTTTCGTTAAGTGATGTCTACAAGTTGGCTGTATTATTATTATTTATGACTTAAAGACCTTTTTACTATTTTTTTCACACCATCCTGTCATTTTTTTCGATACTGTATTTTTCTGGACTCCAGAGGCTGAAGTGGTATACAGAGAAACCCTAACAATATCATGATTATAGTAGTCGTAATAACCTCTCTCGTAAGCTGTGCAGATCCCTGAGCAAGGAACACCTTCTGTAATGTTGTAAAATAATCAAATAGAACAATCAAATGTCTCTCACATCTGAGTATGCCATCTCAGACTATCCCTAAATACCTAGACGCCTGATTGACAAAATTAACTAATCTTTTACGCCAGTTCCAATTGGTGTATTTATATAACAGTGATGATGGTCGTGGGCTGTCTTGGTGTTTGGACGGCAGTGTGTGATCCACTGGGATAATAATATATGAATGTGTTTTTAAGCAGTCCCATCTTCACCTGTGTTGCTTCTTAACTTACTAAACTTAAAAAAAAAAGTTAGTGATTTCAAGAAGGAACGCTAGGTGCGCCTGTACATAGCCGCGCGCAAGTTCACCCACTACTACTACTACTTTCCCAGCCTTCAGTCTTCCCCATAGACCTCCCCTAAATCCCCCATATTCTCAGAAACACCATTTTGGAATATCTAAATATTAATCTGAAATTGCCGGAAGTTGTAATTCTTGCAACCAATATTTCCATCTCTTCTACTTTGTATCCTAAACTTTTCCCATAGTGTGTCCTCGACCACTATTTACCCAACAACCATCCCCACCTAGTGCAACCTCAGCCAACCCTCTCAACAACCAGCCTCTCCCGAGCCCTTCTGCTTCTACAATAACAGAGTGGAAAACAGAGCTGCTGTATAAAATAACTGTATAATAGTTTAGACCACAACCATCGCTGAATTTCTGTATTCGGTGTACGAAAATCTAATAAAATAATACTTGTTTATTTTTTGTATTTCATGTTTTATTTTCCCGTTAAAACCAATGTCTTTCTTACCAGTTTAAGCAAATATAAAAAATAGAAAGAGCGACAAATGAGGAAAAAAAGAAAATTAAAACAAAAATATTCAGCTCCAGTTGGAGAAAATACAAAACTAAATGTATAAAAATATATATCTATACCTGTATATGAAATATATAAAGAATATATAATACATATATTTATATATATACTATATAAATATATATAAATAGATATATATAAATATATAAAGGATAAAATAAATAAATAAATAAATAAATAAATAAATATATATATATATATATATATATATATATATATATATATATATATATATATATATATATATATATATATATATATCGGTTGTTTTGCAAAATTACCGGAATGCATATTGGTAATTTTGCAAAATAATTAACAAACAGTCTAACCAAAGTTAAAAAAGAACAGGACCACTTAACGTAATCTAACCTAAAATATATTTGAAAATATGAAAACATATATAAAAAATTATAGAAAAATATTTATATAAAAATATATATTAATATATAACATACATTATCTGGCCACTGTTAAGAAGGCTCCTCTTGGTCCCTTCAAACCAATCTGATGGAAACAAAAAAGGAAGAATGACTCCTACTCCTCGAGGGACAATAGGTTAACACAACACATGTTCCCAATAATAACCAAACCATTACAGTACAGTATTATATTTACTAAAGACACCTTGCACCATGGTGGGTTAGTGCGTGAGTGTAAAAGAAATAGTCAGATAATGCTACACCACCCCACCACAGAGTAGATTGTTGGCACCATTGTCAAAATTAATGTACCGTATGTAAGAAATGAACTAACATTAGGTGCTTTTAGTATTTAATAACACCTTGGTCCTTGTTATCACGTTTTAATTGTAGTCTTAATACCCCTTCACCTCACACTTACAGCAGTGAATACCATAGATAGTTTGAGGATCATATGAATCGTCAACCCAAATATTTCAGGTAGCTACACTATATAGTAAATTGTGTAGTCTAATTATGGTAAAACTCTGCTTATTTTGGAGGCGGTGCCCCCACGGACCCTACGAGGGACGTTGGCTCCCCCAGGGGCTGTCTTAGGGACAGCGGCGCTTCCAGAGGCCCTCCTAGGGACGGCGGGGCACCCAGGGGCACTGCCAGGGGCGCTTCCAGAGGCCCTCCTAGGGACGGCGGGGCACCCAGGGGCACTGCCAGGGGCGCTGGCGCCCACAGGGGCACTCCCAGGGGCTCTCCCAGGAAAAGCAACACCCCAGGGGCCCTCCCAGGGACAATGGAGCCCCCAGGGGCTCTCACAGTGGCCCTCCCAGAGACGGCTGCGCACCCAGTGGCCCTGCCAGGGGCGCTGGAGCCCCCAGGGGTTCTCCCAGGGACAGAGGCGCTCCCAGGGGCCTTCCCAGGGAAGGTGGCTCCCCCAGGGGCTCTCCCAGCGAGGGCGGAGCTCCCAGGAGACCTCTCAGGGGCGGTGGCGCCCCAAGGGTCCATGCCAGGGATATCGCCAATCCCAGGGGCCCTAACAGGGACGGCAGCGCCCACAGGGACTTTCCCAGGGGCGCTAGCGCATCAAGCGCCATGCCAGGAGCGCTGGCACCTTCAGGGGCTCTCCCAGGAATAGCGGCGCTTCCAGGGGCCCTCCGAGGGATGGTAGCGCCCCTAGGGGCCTTCCCAGGGACAGCGGCGCTCCAGGCGCCATCTCATGGGCACTGGCGCCCTCAGAGACTCTCCCGGGGACGGCGGCGCCACTAGGGGCCCTCTCAGGAACGGCGGCTCCCCCAGGGGCCCTACCAGGGACGGAGAAGCCCCCAGGAGCTCTACCGGGTACAGCAGCGCCCCCATGGGCCCTCCACGGAACGGCGGTGACCCAAGGGGTCCTTCCAGGGCCGCTGGTGCCACCAGGGGCGTTGCCAGGGGCGCTGGCGCCACCAGGGGCTATCCCAAGGACAGCGGCTCTCCCAGAGGCCCTCTCAGGGACGGCAGCTCCCACAGGGGCCCTGCCACGGGTCGTGGCGCCTTCAGGGACCATACCAGAGGCTCTCCCAGAGACAGCGGCACTCCCAAGGGCCCTTCCAGGGAGTACAGCACCCCAAAGACCCTCCCAAGGACGGCGGCACCCACAGAGGCCCTACCAGGGGTGGCGGCGCCCCCAGGGACTCTCCCGGGGACGTAGGCGCCCACAGGGGCCCTCCCAGGGGCCGTAGCGCTCCCATGAACAATGCCAGGGACAGCGGCGTTCCCAGGGATCCCCAAAGGGACAGCGGAATCACCAGGGTCTCTCAAACAGACCTCGCCGCCACCAAATTCCCTCTCAGGGGCGTAGACGCCTCAGGGGTCCTCTCACGGGTGTTGACACATCCAGTGGCCCTCCCAGTGGCGCTTGTGGCACCAGAGACTCTCTCAGGGACAGCGGCTCAACCAGCGGCCCTGCCAGGGACGCTTTCGCTCCCAGGGTCTCTCTCAGGGGCCCTCCCAGGGACTGCGGCGCTCCCATTAGCCCTGCCAGGGCCGCTGACGCCTCCAGGGTCTCTCCCAAGGACAGAGGAGCTCCAAGGCTCCCTGCCAGGGGCGATGGCGACCTCAGGGGCTCTCCAAGGAACAGAGGTGCTCACAGGGGCCCTCACACGGACAGCGGCGCTCCCAGGAACGGCAGCGCCCCCAGGGGACGTCCAAGGGACAGCAGTGCTCCCATGGGCCCTCTCAAGAACGGCGGCTCTCCCAGGGGGCCCTCTCAGGGATGGCGGCGCCCCCGGGGGAACTCAAGGCGCTCCCCATGCTTCCGAGGTGCAATTTCCTGGAAGTTATTAATTAGTTAAACACCTTAAATTCCCCCAGGGGTCCTGCCAGGGATGCTGGCGTCCTCAGGGGCTCTCCCAGGGACAGCGACGTTCCCAGGGGCAATCCCAAGAAAAGCGACGCTCCCAGGTGATTTCTTAGGGGCAGAGGCTCTTTCAGGGGCTCTCGTAGGGACGGCGTCGCACCCAGGGGACCTG